TGGAATCATCCCAAAACATGCCCTCACTACCAAGGAGCATCTTGAAGAAACCTGGGCATCTCTCTTCTAAACACAATGCTAGTTTTTTTGAGTGTTAGCCTGCCAGCTGACACCCAAACTTTAAAACCTTTATGTTGCTGTTCCACAAGGCACAGGATGGCAGGATGAATGACTGCATGCAAAATAGGGCAACAGTGATGGACCTCTGCTCTGATGCATGATATTTAGTATGCATCAGAGCAGATTCCAACCTGCCCTTTGGGCTGGGCAAGTCTCTGGTCAGAGATGTCCAGTAGAGTCCCTCGGTGGCACAGAGGATTGGCATGGGGTGGCCCAAGAAGAATTTGTAGCTAGAATCCCAGCCCAAAATCTAGTTCCTTATTTGGGTTCAGAAATTTAACAGTGCCTGGGGTGCTGTCAGTTGGCAGCCTGGCACGGCCATGGCGTGCTTTGGGCTGGGCAAATCTCTGGTCAGAGATGTCCAGGAGCGTCCCCTTGTGGCACCAAGATGTGGTCTGGGGTGGCCCAAGAAGGATTTGTAGCTATAAACCCAGCCCAAAATCCAGTTCCTTATTCGGGTCTATATACTTAACACAGTGCCTGGGGTGCTGTCAGTTGGCAGCCTGGCACAGCCAAACTGTGTTTTGGGCTGGCCAAGTTTGTGGTCAGAGATGTTCAGGAGTGTCCCCCAGTGGCACAGAGACATGGTCTGGGGTGGCCCAAGAAGGATTTCTATCTATAATCCCAGACCCAAATCCAGCTCTTTACTCGGTTCCATATATTTAGCACAGTGGCTGGGGTGCTGTCATTTGGCAGCCTGGCATGGCCAATCCGCGTTTTGGGCCAGGCAAGACTCTGGTCAGATGTGTCCAGTAGAGTCCCCTGGTGGCGCAGATGTATTCTGGTGGGCGCCCCAAGAAGAATTTTTAGCCATAATCCCATCCTAAAGGCCAGTTCCTTATTCAAGACATTATAGCATAGTGGGCATGGGGGTTGTTAGTTGAACCAACTTCAGCTTCATGGCTGGGGTGGCTCAGGCCAGGTTGGGGTGGGGTGGGGTGGGGGGTGTTGCTTAGCAAGCAGAGCTGTACCTCCTGCAAGGAGGCACCACTTGCAGAGGAACAGTGAGGGCCAGGCAGGGGTGACGTGGAGGGAGTGCACCCCCTACAAAAAGGCACCACCAACACTGTTGGCAGTGCCTGTGGGCAGTACCTGCTCACCACCCTGCTGCCAACACCATGTGCGGGCAGTCCACAGTCCCCACTGGCTGCTGCCATCACTGCCCTCTGGCCTGTTTGCACAGTTTCTAGCTCCTTTTTACTTAGAGGAAAGATGTGTGTCGTGCTATGGGGGATAATGTACCGCAGCACAGCATGTGGCTCTCTCCCCTTTTCAAAATCCTAGATCTGCTCTAAGCAAACAAACTCGTGGGCCCCTACTTCATACTGTATATTTATCTTACATTTCTTACTCGATAGTTCTATGTAACATAAGTACCTTCCTCACTCAGGGCCCTGGGCACGTGCCTAGTTTGCCTACGTGTCAATCCGGCCCCGCTGTCCATGCGGCTCCCTGCCTCTCCGGGCCAGTGTCAGGTCTGAGATCTTCGCGGACACGGAAGCAGAAGAGGCTGAAGAGGAAGGGGCTGCCACAGCGACAAAGCAGGAAGGCCGCTTTTGTCGCCCATGCCGAGCCCGGTGCCCACTGGCCTCAGCTCCCAGCCCCGCCCAGGTTCATCCCGGGCTTCATCCGCCGGCTCCAGGCGAGGACGGGGCAGCCCGAGCCTGGCAGAGCCCCGGGGCCGGCGCTGCGCCCAAGTACCCGGTGCGGCCGCGAGGGGGCGCTGAAGCACAGACACGCCAGCCGGGAGTCCGCGCTGTCCGCGCACCGCGCCCGGCCGGCCCC